TCATCATCATCGACAGCATGACATCAGTGTTCAACACTGATCCTTCACTGCCGTACAACCATGATTTATTTGAAAGCCTTATTGTAAAGAAAAGAGTAAAGGTGGACGGGGAAGGGACTTAGTGCTAGCTTACTACAATCATTTCGAGGTGCCTATACCTCCACACATTCACTCAGGCGATCTGGATACAAAACTGACAACAAGAACGCCACTGACATCGGTTGGCAGCCATATCTTGTAGTGTCTCCAACCAAGCGCAGTGAGGGTCACGCGGTCCCTATCCTGGAAGGCGAGTAGCACCGACAGCACCCTAGAGTTTCGTGATTTCCTTCATACTCCTCTGCCAAGCCAAGGGTTGGCCATCTCTCTGTTTACGTCACTCCGAATTGGGCATGGAAATCAGTACTCTCTTCGGCAAACGATGGTTCGGCATACGTAACACGTGTCCCAACAAACGCAGCTTCTGGTGCTGGACACATGCTTCAATGGAAGTATACACAACACAACCGAAAACATGCTCTCTAACTGCCTCGTTACGAATTCGCCGACACTAACTCACACGAGCTATGGTTCTGAGACAATAGGTTGGCCTAACTCACACGAGCTATGGTTCTGAGACAATTGTTTAGGTTGGCCTATGAGTGTGTTCCATTGAAGGTCAATCAATAAATAAGTGGATATAACAAACCCACGAGAGAAACCCACTGGAGGTAGAGGTATAAAGCCAGATCACTCAGTGTGGTGCGTCTTTCTGAATACTTTGCATTTCACAATACACTGAACAAGTCTTGTTCCCAGATGAAAACGATCGCGAACTGTTAAATTCAGTGGGGCTAACGAGACCGAATCGACAAAGTAACCTTTGAAAAGGGTCAGTACATAGAGAAAATCAACTTTCAGCATATTCTGTATTAACCGCAACAGCGGATTGATGTCATGGAGGCTACGAGGAACTGGTCAACGGTCATGTCAAGGACACCGTTAAACGTCCGATGTTATTGTTGGTGTGTGCTAAATTATGCATATTCTTAAATCCCCCAATACTTAAAGCGATGTGAACAAAGACACCAACCGTAGCGACTGCGACTGGTGTGAGGGGAGCCAGACATTCCTTTTTCGAACTACTGATCCATTTTCCCACTATAGCCGGTAAGGTGCGAGATGACTCAAGTGGTTAGAGCGCGAATTCACTGACCGGAAGGTCCGTGGTTCGGACCCGACCTCTGCCTCTCGACTTCCCCTGTTTAGGCTTGGGCAACCTTAAAGTATCCCAGCCCTCGTGCCTTCTTCGTGTGGTATGGTAACTAGGCACCGAAAGGGTGCTACAGCTGGACAAGTATTATTATAGCCAGTAACAAAACGGCCAATCTTAAGTGGAATTGATCGGATCAGTGAGTTGTGCACAGGTGGACAGTCTGCATCCAGAAATTTAAAGCAACTATAATTCATCAACGGAAAAAGCACTCCACTGTTGAAAGGGTGGCAGAATGCAGAAACGTCGTTCGAATGCGGTACTCCGCAAATAGGGATCACACAACCCGAAGGAGGTACGACGCAAAAGCACCGTCAGGATGTGATACCTAGAGAAAAGCAGTCGAAAAACGAGGGTTGGGTTCGAACCATGGGTCTTCTGGCGAGCACCATCGTACTTTGACCGCTGACTCCATATATGCCTGTAGTAAGACATTGGACACTTGAGATCAGTTCAAACACTGTCCCTCGAAGGCGCCACACAAAGATCTCCTAATGAAGGGCCTTCCCCTGAAGGAATATTTCCCATCCTGGAGGCACTACCTCTATCCTATTCCGAACAAGATTCTGTAACCTCTACCCAAACGCATTCAGTCACTGACCTACAGGGTATCGTCCTTTATACAAAACGGTCGCAAATAGACTGGACCATACCGTGGTGTGACGGTTTGTAAACCTCGGCGACACACTGAACTATACAGAAGGGTGTCCGCCCGACACTCGCAGGGCCTGTCATACCGGGTTGGTCAATGCCTAGAGGTCTGACGTACACAGTCTGCTGATCTCCAGGCTGGAGGTTAGAACAAGCGTAGCGACGTGTTCCATAAAAATGGGAATACACTTGCGAACGCGAATGTCTTCGAAACCCCGGTGTTCAAGCTGCCGCTGGTCAGAGCCTTGTCGATCTGGAGTGCGCGGATGACATTAACCTCATCTTTGAAAACCAAAGCGAAGCACAAGTCCTGTTAAATAGGCTGACCATCTTCTGACATGCACTTTGCATCTTCAAAGTGCAAAGTCCTGCTTCAGAACGTTCCATCTGCGAGCATATCCCTTACAGTTCAAGGAGAAACACTGGAGATTGTGGAAAACTTTACATACCTCGGTAGTTGTATAAGCTCTGACGGAAGTGTGCCTGATGAAGTCGGTGCAAGAATCTCAAAGGCTCGAATCACGTTCGCTAATCTGTGTCACTGTGGCATCAAAAAGACACATCACGAGATCTTAAGGGTCGCGTGCACCAGGCTACAGTAAGGGCTGCGTTGTTGTATGGGTGCGGGACATGGACTCTGCGGACAGATGATGTGAGGCGTCTTCAGGTTTTCGACCACCGATGCCTCAAAAGCCTTGCTGGTTTTGGATAGCTTCATGTTAGTAACGAGGCGATCGAAAATGGGTATTTGGTTGTGCTGCATGTACTTCAATCCGGGAAAACACCCAGCATCGCCGACAACGATGGCTTGTTCATGTGCTACGCATGCCGAAACACCGTCTACAGAGACAAATGTTGTTCTCCACACTTCCTTCAGGTTGGCCCAAGCCGCAAGGTGGACAACGTATGGCTTTGCAGAAGGGCTTGAAAAAGATCACGAAGAGTTTGGGTGTTGTACGACTTCCAGGATGGGGTCCCCATGACCCTTCCTGCGACTGGCTAGAAACATTCCAAGAAATTGCAGCTGGTCGATGTCAGTGGCGTTCGTGCCTTTCCAGATTTTCTGACTCAGTGCTTGGGAGTGTAGCCACTTCAGAATGCTTGACATAGGCCAACGCTAGCACCCTCCCTCACCCACTCTTCTTCTCTTCTCTCAACTCTGGGGGCGAGATGGTTCACATAGTTAGAGCGCGAATTTACTGACCGGAAGGTCCGTGGTTCAAACCCGACCTCCACCTCTCGACTCCCCCTGTCTAGGCTTGGGTAACTTGAAAGTATCCCAGCCCTCGTGCTTCCTTCGGGTAGCACAGCAACTAGGCACCAGAAGGGTGTTACAGGTGAACGACCTTCTCTACACTCTAAAGCTTTGAATGTAATTAGGCGAACCTCATGGTGGTACGGCAGTGAAACATCCCTGTCGACATTGATGTGTGTTGTCTCTGATGATGATGTTGTTGATGGCGTCAGATGCAAGAGTTAAATAAGGAGCTATTATGGTCGAAAAACCACTTAGACGACAGCCTGGGTGTGGGTGAGACGAGCGGACTGGATTCAGATTTTACGGTTATATCTGGCCTACTTTTGATTATGAGTGAAGTGTATTTCAATATACAGGACTGATAGCTAATTGGAATCCGTCAAAGGATGGCAAAATCATCACCGTTGTAGGCAAAACGGAACGAATTTATACAAGGCAATCCGTCGGTGCACAAGGACTGAGTAGCAAACAGGTCGAAGGCAAATCGAAGAGAACAAAGTTGGTGGCTATCACCCTCTGTGCAGGCCAATCATGATACCACTTGAAAATACAAGAGAACCCAGGTGCGAGTCTGAAAAAAAAACAAAGCGAAAACTATCAAAGGCCGCGTCTAATCCGATGAGTTTATGTGACACCACAGTCCCCAAGATTAGCATCAGAAGAGTTCAACAACTGCATCAACATGCCCCTCGTCCAAAATGTTTGCACTCAATCCTCATGTCGAAAGTGGGCGGGATATTGAATTACTTGGGGGCAGGAACAAGGCCTTAGGGTGAAGACTGTTCAGCTATCCCACCCTATCGGTCCACGGCTGCGGTGCAACCCGATGAAGGGATGAGGGGTGAGGGTTTGTCCAAGCCTAAACAGGGGGAGTAGAAATGCCATGGAACCATGGGACTTGCAGTCAGCAGTTTCGCGCCTTAACCGCCGACCTACCTCAAGCTCAATCGCTCAGCTGTAACACCCTTTCGGTCCAAAGCTGACATGCTATCCCAAGGAAGCACGAGAGCTGAGATACTGCCAAGCCCAGACAGATAAATAAGTCGGGTTCGAACTACGGACCTACTGTTTAGTATCTTTGCACTTTAACTACTGAGTTATCTCGAGCCCGATGACAATGGTGAGAAAGCTCATACGGCACGTCTCATTGGCTTACTATAATCGAAGGGAATAAGTTATACTCATTGACTGGAATAACGAGAAGCTATTTTCGCTACATCAAAAGGTTGTCTGAAAGTGCCGAGATATTGGTGACCAATTCAACTATAACGAGGAAGGAAAACTGATTACTTCCGTGTGCAACACGTATTTTGATTAGAAATCGACTTTTCGACATGACGGAGCATCTGCACGTGCCACCCATTCAGTGATTATTGAATTACCCAACATATTTACTAGATTGGTCGCCTTACAGTCTGGACGTGAACCACAAGAGCGTGTAAGTGATCGCACAGAGAAGTCTATCAAGGTAATCGTATAATGCAAACGATCGAGGAACTGAAACTGTAGGTAGTATCAAGCAGACATTTGTGGAGATTCTTTTCTGCACAGTGGTTGCTGAATAGTCAGGAGGGATTGAAAATTATGTACAATGATACGTATTTACATTGGAACAGGGATGGCAAAAATTCCTGTACAAATACATCACAGTCAAAGTGTGCTTGTCCCAATATTACAGCAGTGGCTACGGATTTTCATTAGCGTCGGACACATTTCCCGTGGGTACTGTTCCAGTCAGTTCTTCTACGTGCTTCGCCAAAAGGGTTGCACGTTTGCGCATATAGTGCTGCCAGTGAAGCAAAATTTGATCGTCCATATAACGACACAAGTGGCCACGAGCTAATTCAGCGCGAAATTCAGGTAGTTGCAGGAGGTCCAGCATATGCAAACAAAACGGATAGCTGAAAATAAAACGAAGTAAAAGTTACGAGCGTAAAATGCAGCAAGGAGCACCAAAAGCTTCCCTCCCTAAGTGAGTGATCCAGAAACTGACGTTGCACTGCCCTTGCGTCCGTATGGAACCGAGGATTTAATACAAGCCGTACTCGCCTGTTCCTCCGATAACCTCCAAGTTAGTTCACAAAGGACTGAGCACAAACGATAATGCATCAGGTGGTCTGAATCCTTAACAGATTGCAAACGCTCGCTCTTATCTAACAACAATGAAGGCCTTTACAATGCTGCAACCCTGACGAACGCTGGAGGTTCATGAATATCCTGGTGTTCAAACAGCAGCCAAAAACAAACTTGTTGGTATAGAATGCACAGACGGCATTATCCTAGTCTTCAAAGAGAAAGGGCACAGGCATTAATGGGTGAAATGACATTTGACGTATCTTGTACTCATAAGGTTTACGGCCATGCTTCCAATCGTGCGAAGCCATCGGCCGAAAGGTCGGTGATTGAAATCCGACCCCGTCTAAGTTTGGATAAACTGACAGTATCTTATTTCGTGTGCAGATATGCACCGAAAAGATGCCACAGCCGGACGATTTTCACGTGCCTTTTACGAGCAAAGTCATCGTTTAATCCAATTCTACCCGGGTTCTCAAAACTAAAGCGAGACGATTTCCAGTGGCCGTCTAGTTCCAAGCGAAAAGCAACATAAAGAAAATAGACCAGGCACTGGTGCCTTCCTTGCTCAGGGATCGTTACCAAGTGAAACACATGGGAATCGTTGAAGCCTCACCTGTCTATTCCCACCGTGGTGTATCGCGGTTGCTCAAGTGTTCCTGATCCAACTACGTTGGTTGGGTGAGGAGAAGAATCCCTACTATACAGATCAGACGATAACAAACGTTTTCCCGCACTAGAATCTCCATTCAAAAGAAAATGGAAAGTCTTCGAGCGCCAGAACGATATAAGGATTGTAAAACACCTGAGACGTCCAGACATCAAAAGGACCCACGATCAGGTTGGGATCGAGATTTGGAGCGTCCCGTCTGTAAAAGACCGTTGCAACTATCCGACAACCCTAGTATATATATATATATATATATATATATATATATATAT